AGCAGCCGCCCAGGGAGGTACTACCGTCCTGTGGTAGTAGGATGGTAGACAGCAGCCGCCCAGGGAGGTACTACCGTCCTGTGGTAGCAGGATGGTAGACAGCAGCCGTCCAGGGAGGTACTACCGTCCTGTGGTAGTAGGATGGTAGACAGCAGCCGCCCAGGGAGGTACTATCGTCCTGTGGTAGTAGGATGGTAGACAGCAGCCGTCCAGGGAGGTACTACCGTCCTGTGGTAGTAGGATGGTAGACAGCAGCCGTCCAGGGAGGTACTACCGTCCTGTGGTAGTAGGATGGTAGACAGCAGCCGTCCAGGGAGGTACTACCGTCCTGTGGTAGTAGGATGGTAGACAGCAGCCGCCCAGGGAGGTACTACCGTCCTGTGGTAGCAGGATGGTAGACAGCAGCCGTCCAGGGAGGTACTACCGTCCTGTGGTAGCAGGATGGTAGACAGCAGCCGCCCAGGGAGGTACTACCGTCCTGTGGTAGTAGGATGGTTGACAGTAGCCGTCCAGGGAGGTACTACCGTCCTGTGGTAGTAGGATGGTAGACAGCAGCCGCCCAGGGAGGTACTACCGTCCTGTGGTAGCAGGATGGTAGACAGCAGCCGCCCATGGAGGTACTACCGTCCTGTGGTAGCAGGATGGTAGACAGCAGCCGCCCAGGGAGGTACTACCGTCCTGTGGTAGTAGGATGGTAGACAGCAGCCGCCCAGGGAGGTACTACCGTCCTGTGGTAGTAGGATGGTAGACAGCAGCCGCCCAGGGAGGTACTACCGTCCTGTGGTAGTAGGATGGTAGACAGCAGCCGCCCAGGAAGGTACTACCGTCCTGTGGTAGCAGGATGGTAGACAGCAGTCGTCCAGGGAGGTACTACCGTCCTGTGGTAGTAGGATGGTAGACAGCAGCCACCCAGGGAGGTACTACCGTCCTGTGGTAGTAGGATGGTAGACAGCAGCCACCCAGGGAGGTACTACCGTCCTGTGGCAGTAGGATGGTAGACAGCAGCCACCCAGGGAGGTACTACCGTCCTGTGGTAGTAGGATGGTAGACAGCAGCCACCCAGGGAGGTACTACCGTCCTGTGGTAGTAGGATTGTAGACAGCAACCGCCCAGGGAGGTACTACCGTCCTGTGGTAGCAGGATGGTAGACAGCAGCCGCCCAGGGAGGTACTACCGTCCTGTGGTAGCAGGATGGTAGACAGCAGCCGCCCAGGGAGGTACTACCGTCCTGTGGTAGTAGGATGGTAGACAGCAGCCGCCCAGGGAGGTACTATCGTCCTGTGGTAGCAGGATGGTAGACAGCAGCCGCCCAGGGAGGTACTACCGTCCTGTGGTAGTAGGATGGTAGACAGCAGCCGCCCAGGGAGGTACTACCGTCCTGTGGTAGTAGGATGGTAGACAGCAGCCGCCCAGGGAGGTACTACCGTCCTGTGGTAGTAGGATGGTAGACAGCAGCCGTCCTTGGATGTACTACCGTCCTGTGGTAGTAGGATGGTAGACAGCAGCCGCCCAGGGAGGTACTACCGTCCTGTGGTAGTAGGATGGAAGACAGCAGCCGTCCAGGGAGGTACTACCGTCCTGTGGTAGTAGGATGGTAGACAGCAGCCGCCCAGGGAGGTACTACCGTCCTGTGGTAGTAGGTTGGCAGACAGCAACCACCCAGGGAGTTACTGCCGTCCTGTGGTAGTAGGATGGTAGACAGCAACCACCCAGGGAGGTACTACCGTCCTGTGGTAGTAGGTTGGCAGACAGCAACCACCCAAGGAGGTACTACCGTCCTGTGGTAGTAAGATGGTAGACAGCAGCCGCCCAGGGAGGTACTACCGTCCTGTGGTATTAGGGTGGTAGACAGGAGCCGCCCAGGGAGGTATTACCGTCCTGTGGTAGCAGGTTGATAGACAGCAACCACCCAGGGAGGTACTACCATCCTTTGGTAGTAGGATGGTAGACAGCAACCACCCAGGGAGGTACTACCGTCCTGTGGTAGCAGGATGGTAGACAGCAACCACCCATGGAGGTACTACCGTCCTGTGGTAGCAGGATGGTAGACAGCAACCACCCAGGGAGGTACTACCGTCCTCTGCTAGTAGGATGGTAGACAGCAACCACCCAGGGAGGTACTACCGTCCAGTGGTAGCAGGATGGTAGACAGCAACCACCCAGGGAGGTACTACCATCCTGTGGTAGTATGATGGTAGACAGCAACCACCCAGGGAGGTATTACCGTCCTGTGGTAGTATGATGGTAGACAGCAACCACCCAGGGAGGTACTACCGTCCTGTGGTATTAGGATGGTAAACAGCAACCACCCTGGGAGGTACTACCGTCCTGTGGTAGCAGGATGGTAGACAGCAACCAACCAGGGAGGTACTACCGTCCTGTGGTAGTATGATGGTAGACAGCAACCACCCAGGGAGGTACTACCGTCCTGTCAAGTGATTGTAAAAAGTAAGCCTGTAATTGTTTTACATGATGGTAGGATTGCTGGTGTCTTTCTGTCTCATAAGCATGCAAGATTTCAGATACGTCTTACTACTTCTACTTACATTTAAGTCCCACTACACATGCAAGTACACTATATATATATTATGTATATATTATATATATATATATATATATATATATATATATATATATATATATATATATATATATATATATATCTTCTTTTCTTTCAACACACCGCCGTATCCCACCGAGGCAAGTACACTATATATATATTATATATATATATATAATATATATATATATATATATATATATATATATATATATATATATATATATATATATATATATAATATATATACATACATATATACATACACACCCATCTGGATTTTCTTCTATCTTCTTAATAGTTCTTGTTCTTTATATCCTTTTATCTTCATAGTGAACAAGAATTCTTCCTCCCTAAGCCATGAGTGTCTTAAGAAGCGACTAAAATGCCGGGAGCAAGGGACACCCTGCCTCGGTGGGAGCAAGGGGCACCCTGCCTCGGTGGGAGCAAGGGGCACCCTGCCTCGGTGGGAGCAAGGGGCACCCTGCCTCGGTGGGAGCAAGGGGCACCCTGCCTCGGTGGGAGCAAGGGGCACCCTGCCTCGGTGGGAGCAAGGGGCACCCTGCCTCGGTGGGAGCAAGGGGCACCCTGCCTCGGTGGGAGCAAGGGGCACCCTGCCTCGGTGGGATGCTGCCAGTACCTTGAAATAATAATTAATAGTAATAATAATAGAGGAGGTTGAGTCAGACACTTTATTAGAGAAATATTTTATTACAAATTACAATTAAAATACACACACACACTGACTTGAAAAAAATATCCAGTTAATAGAGTAATTAACATTAATTATTAGTTTATTATAATTACTGACACGTAGGGTAATGAGGGGGGAAGGAATGAGGGAGGTGGAGGAAGGGAGAGAGGAAGAATAGAACATATATGTACAGTAACCCTTTGTGTCTCACCCAAGATTATCAGAAGGGAGGATCATCTCTCTAGAAGAGAGGGAGGGAAGCAGAGAGGGAGGGAAGCAGAGAGGGAGGGAAGCAGAGAGGGAGGGAAGCAGAGAGGGAGGGAAGGAGTAAGGGCCGGTAATAAAGGGGAGAGTAGGGGAAAAAATATGAAAGGGTGGGGTGAAAAATCGGGTTGTTGGTGTGGAAGGGGAGGTTCATGAATAGAGTGGAGGGAGGGGGGAGGTAGTATACACGGGGTGAGCGGAAGCTTACAGAGCGTGAAGCTTGGTGCTCCAGCTGGGGTATTCGACGCGGTGACTATTGTTCAATACTGGTGTTGAAGACCGAGTGTGTTCAGTGTTGTGCAGTGGTGATACTCTTCTCTGTGATGAGGTGCAGGCAGTGTGTCAACACACGGTGTGTGTCAGTGTGGAGGTGCAGTGTGTCAACACACGGTGTGTGTCAGTGTGGAGGTGCAGTGTGTCAACACACGGTGTGTGTCAGTGTGGAGGTACAGTGGTTCAACACACGGTGTGTGTCAGTGTGGAGGTGCAGTGTGTCAACACACGGTGTGTGTCAGTGTGGAGGTGCAGTGTGTCAACACACGGTGTGTGTCAGTGTGGAGGTGCAGTGTGTCAACACACGGTGTGTGTCAGTGTGGAGGTGCAGTGTCAACACACGGTGTGTGTCAGTGTGGAGGTGCAGTGTGTCAACACACGGTGTGTGTCAGTGTGGAGGTGCAGTGTGGATGTACAGGGAGTGTATCAAACGGTGTGTGTCATTGTGGATGTGCAAGGAGTGTCAACACACTGTGTCAGTGTACAGGTGCAGGGAGTGTCAACACACGGTGTCAGTGTGCAGGTGCAGAGTGTGTCAACACACGGTGCTTGTCAGTGTGCAGGTGCAGGCAGTGTGTCAACACACGGTGTGTCAGTGTGGATGTGCAAGGAGTGTCAACATGGTGTCAGTGTGCAGGTGCAGAGTGTGTCAACACAGTGTGTGTCAGTGTGGAGGTGCAGGCAGTGTCAACACACGGTGTGTGTCAGTGTGGAGGTGCAGGTGCAGGTAGTGTCAACACACGGTGTGTGTCAGTGTGGAGGTGCAGGTGCAGGCAGTGTCAACACACGGTGTGTGTCAGTGTGGAGGTGCAGGTGCAGGTAGTGTCAACACACAGTGTATGTCAGTGTGGTGGTGCAGGGGTGTGTCACAACAGTGTGTTTGTGGGCAAGGTGTGCAGGGTGTGTATCAACACGGTGTGCCGCACGTGGTGTGGAAGACATGAGGTGCAACATATTCCCTCTGAGGACCCAGTGTGACCCAAATTAATCCTAGAGTATCGTGGGGGTAGGATACCCTGTGCCTGGCCCGTGGCAGGCACATGTACCCCGTCCCGACCCCAACACCGCCGGCAGGCTGAGGCTCCTGACCACGTTAAAAAACGTAATAAATAGCAAAATATAAATAAGAAACGTGCACACACATACCTATACATGTACACACAACACACACACACCACCACACACACACACACACACACACACCACACACACACACACACACACACACACACACACACACACTCACACTCACACTCACACTCACACACACACACACACACACACACACACACACACACGGGAAGAGCTGTTGCTGGGGGGGTAGAACGACACATTGACCACATGGGGGACTTGACTCGCTGACTCAGGCTGGGCAGCATACCCAGGGGGGCACCATCCATGCCCGAGGCCGCATGCTGGAGTGACTCGAGGCGCCTGAATGCCCGGCTGCGGCTTACAGTGGGCGCCGCAGCTTGTGCTTATGGGCGCGTGAGTGTGGCACGACTGTCTTGGGTCACCACATTGAGACAACCACACTGGCCGTCGCTGCTGTGGTGCGGCACTCACAGATCTAGACTCACGTCGCCACCACATCGCGGGACGTGGAGCGGTTGGTTACTTAGAAATGACCCTTTTTGTGTAGGAAGGCTGGGTTGTCGTAGGAGGAGATGATGGAGCGGGTGTCTCCCTGGCCGCGAAATCGGAGACACAAGAAGGCGGACATGAGGCAGGAGACGATGAGTATGGCGAGTAGGACGATGAGTGTGGCAGCGAAGCCAGGCGTCGACATGCAGATGAGACCAGATTGGTCCTCAATCTGCGGCGCCACCAGCGTCGCGGTCTCCGACTCCTTAGGTTCGCTGTCAGTGCCACCCTTCTTGTCCAAGACGAAGGTGAGATCTCGTGTTGACACAACTTGGATAACTCGGTTGACGCCAATGTCTTTCTGCTTGTTTACCTTTTCTTCCTCTGTTTCACGCTTTGCGCGGCCCAGTCCAGGGGCGTCGTAACTGAGGCCAGGACCCACGGGTCCGTCGTCACTGCACTGCACTGGACACTGCAACCTGCAAATCTGTATGGTGCATTGGAAATGAACCTCCATGGAGTCAGGGAATTTAAAAGCCTGGAAGTGAGCGTAGGATAAGACGGATGCAGACGACCCAAAGCTTTTGATCTTGGTAAATCTGGACATAAGTTTTGGGCGGGTAACGCAGCCTCTCTGGTCCACTAGCTGGATGGGTGCTCGCTTTCCGTCATGAGCCATGCAATTACGGACCAGCATGTCGAATTTGTTATCGTCATCCTTTATAGCGAGGACCATCGTCATAGTCTGACCAATCTTAACTAACCCAGAAACTTCTGAGGCCCACGGACCCTTACCCACCTGAATTTGCATCCAGCATCCTACATTGTCGCCGGCGAAGTCCGCACGAACTACGTCTAACATGTCAACGGGGAATGGACGGAACGTGACGGACTTCTCGTACTGGTCATGCCAAGTACAGCGAAGCTTGCGAGCTTGGTCCCACACCTCCTGAACCTGTGGGTCATACTGCACCACGATGGTGTTCTCAAAGTAGGTGCCGGAACCGCTCTGGCTGCCGTAGCCATATAGACCGTTCTCAGTGTTGCCAATGGTGCCACAAGCATTTATTGACACGTCGAAAGTGGCTTGTGAACGGCCCAGACCCGCTGGCAGATGCACGCAGTTGACATTGCTGTAATGGCCCTTGCTGAACACGATGCCATAGAAAGGTTTGTCGAAAGCTATGCTCACCTTCATTAGGTTTTTCTCGCACTTGACATCCAGAGCGATGATCTTAGGCATTTCAGGAACGGCGACAGGCCAGGGATCTGAAGGACCCAGAAGCTCCGGCGGCACGTAGGAGTTAGCTGAGCCAGAAATGTCGGCGTCAGAGATACTGTGGCCGATGGGGCCAAGGGAGAGTGCCGGTGGAACGTTGTAATTAACTTGAACTGGTGCAGGGGGAACATACTGGCTCTGAGGCACTGACGCCGCTGCTTGGAGTAGCGCTGGTTCCACGTAGCTGATCTGCGGAGCAGAGAGTGAAGCCGAATCTGCAGTTTTGGCCTGGCTGAGTGCTGCAGTCGGTGCTGCTCCGGCACCTGCTGATTTCTTGGTTTCTTCACTGAAAATATCGGCTGGTTTAGGTATTCCATAATTTTGGTCAGTGTTGACGGGTGGAGGGGCAGAGAAATTTGGCTGTGGTGGTGGAGGGCCATTGTAGCTGGGATTTGGTGACTGAGGGGGGTTAAGAGGGGGTGGAAGGGGAGAGAAGATAGGTTGTTGTGGAGGGGGAGAATAAATAGACTGTTGTGTTAGTGGTGGGGGTCTTGACTGGAGTGGGGGAGGAGCATAGTCGTTTAGTGGGGGAGGAGGGACCTTGTAGATGGAGGTTTGGTGGGGCTTTACGTTACCAAAGCCTGGAGGGGGAGGAGGAGGTGGGGGACGGAAGGGAGGCCTTGCGCGCTTGGGGGGTCCCTTTGGTCGAAGGGGCGCACCTCCGGTACCTTCCTTGGCATTAGCGTGCACAGGACCCCTTTGTGGAAAATCCGGGATTACGAGAGAGCCCGGCGACACTGGCACAGGAAGAGGGACGGGGATAGCGTAGGGATAGCGAGGATATAGAGACTTTCTGTCGGTGGCCTCCATGGCAATCTGGTCCTCGGGGATGTCCCCGGCGCTATCCTTGTTGTCATCGCTTTGTGCTATGCCTGAGCGGTCCTGGGCGACGTGTGCGTCTAATACCTGGACGACGTGTGCGTCTGTGGTTGGTTCGCCATCTTGCATCTGCGACGCGTCCACCTCGACAGCCTCCTCTTCACTGCTCGCCACCTGCAAAAAAAAAAGGCATGTTGAGTACCCGGGCTTGGTAAAGCAGTGAGGAATGACATTCCTGTCTCGCGAATGCGGACGAAGAACGAGTCTCCGCAACTCATTGCACTGAATAACCCACACGGGTTTAGAGCTTCACATGCGCGCGCGCAGCACACACACACACACACACACACACACACACACACACACACACACACACACACACACACACACACACACACACACACACACACACATGCATATATATTAAAAAAAAAACTCTTATTAAGAAATTTAGAAAGCCATACACGGACTGAATCTTAGTCAAAATGTCAGGAAATACCAGTCTTGGGTAGGGTGTTAGAACACTATATTCTTGCCGTCAGAGTCTGCAGTTTTGGAAGAAATAGTAATAGTACATTCATGCGTAATCTAACATATTAGTGAGATTCTACATTTGTTTTGCTGCAGTTGAAAGTTAGGTTGAAGTATGTTACGCCATCATGTGTTGTTTGTGTAAATATGTGAGTTTTCTCTAGGTATTTTAACCCATATTTACGTGTATTTAACCTACGATAAAGTTAGGCAGTAATATCTTAGATCGTGTGCTTTCTCCCGAACGATGAAACAGTTGCAAGATGGGTTGGTTAGTCAGCGTGATGGGGAGGAAGACTGGTTGATGGGGCGGTAGAAGTGATGGAAGGGCTAGTAAGTTACTTGAACAGACAGTAAACGCATTAGAGAGGAATAGAAAACACAGATATGCAGCGGAATAGTTCAAGGATGTGTGAAAATAGTTGACGATGAGAACAGAAGATGGCTAGGTGACCCGAGATGGGAATACCAGTGGGTGGAGAGGGAGAAAGCTCCGCCGACCCACCCACCGACTAACCGACTCACCGACACACCTCTAACACACCCTCAGAGCGTCATTTTTATCATTTCTAATTGTGGGTCGAGAATCTTGAATGATGCGTGTGCAGCACTGGAAAGTCTGTACTTACCTGTTTGTACTTGCAAGCGTTGTTCTCTAGTTCCTGGCCCCGCCTATTAGGCTGCCGCTTGGTGGATATACTCCCTCGATGCCTTGTGGGCCGTATCATACCTGTTCTTAAAACTGCGTATGGAGCCTGTCTCCACCACTTCCTCATTGAGGTTATTGCACTGCCTGCTATCCCTGTTGCTCATCTGTGTCTTTAACTTCTAGCTTTGCCCTCGAGTGCCCGTTTTCCGCCTCTTAACAGTCTGTCCCTGGATACATCATTAACCAATCACTAACATTTTTTATGTTCCTGTAATTGCTTTACATGATGGTAGGATTGCTGCTATCTTCTTTCTATCTCATAAACACGCGGGATACCCGGTATATCTTGCTACTTCTACTTACACAGGTCACATTACACATACAAGTACACTCATATATATACACACCCATCTGGGTTTTCTTTTATTTTCTTAATAGTTCTTGTTCTTTATATCTTTTATCTTCATGGGGTAGTGGACAAGAATTCTTCCTCCGTAAGCCATGCGTGTCGTAAGAAGCGACTAAAATGCCGGGAGCAAGGGGCTAGTAACCCTTTCTCCTGTATACATTACTAAATTTTTGGGTCACCTGCTTCGGTGGGATACGGCCGGTGCGTTGAAAAAAATGTATTGCTGTTACGTTTTCCGCGGTTCCTCTGTCCTCCAAGGTCGTGTCTACCTGGGACTCTCTCTCTCTCACTCTCTCTCTCTCTCTCTCTCTCTCTCTCTCTCTCTCTCTCTCTCTCTCTCTCTCTCTCTCTCTCTCTCTCTCTCTCTCTCTCTCTCTCTCTCTCTCTCTCTCTCTCTCTCTCTCTCTCTCTCTCTGGCGTTATTAACACACAAAACATTTCAGACAAAATCGTAGTTCATGATGTGTTGGTGGTGACTGGAATAACAATGAGATGTGCCACAGACTTTCGCTCGGGCTGCTGCAACTTTTCCCTCAGCTGACTTTCTTAAGGACTGACAGCTGTTGAAAGCCTCCCAAGACCCACCACACACATCTGGCGTTACCCTCGACCCAATACACACCTATGCGTTGCCCACGACCCACCACACACATACCTGGCGTCACCCACGACCCACCACACACACCTGGCGTCACCCACGACCCACCACACACACCTGGCGTCACCCTCGACCCAATACACATCTATGCGTCGCCCAATACCCACCACACACACACCTGACGTCACCCACGACCCACTACACACACCTGGCGTCACCCACGACCCACCACACACACACCTGACGTCACCCACGACCCACTACACACACCTGGCGTCACCCACGACCCAATACACACCTATGCGTTGCCCACGACCCACCACACACATACCTGGCGTCACCCACGACCCACCACACACACCTGGCGTCACCCACGACCCACCACACACACCTGGCGTCACCCTCGACCCAATACACATCTATGCGTCGCCCAATACCCACCACACACACACCTGACGTCACCCACGACCCACTACACACACCTGGCGTCACCCACGACCCACCACACACACACCTGACGTCACCCACGACCCACTACACACACCTGGCGTCACCCACGACCCACCACACACACACCTGACGTCACCCACGACCCACTACACACACCTGGCGTCACCCACGACCCACCACACACACCTGACGTCACCTACGACCCACCACACACGTGGTGGCTGAGTAGATAGATGAGTGGGTGAATAGGCTTTGGGTGGATATGCAGGTGTGTGGATAGGTGGATAGATGTGTAGCCGACACCCTGCCCACACTTGCACACACCCTGCACACAACTTGCCCATACCCTACCAACACCCTACCCACACTCTATCCATACCCTGCTGCCCCCTGCCCACACCCAGCCCACACCCTGCTGAAACCTTACCCAAACCCTGCCCACATGCCCACACCATGACCACACCCTGCCCACACCCTGCTCACACCCTGCTCACACCCTGCTCACACCCTCAATGAAAATAATGCCAATATTAAATCCAGTGTAACGTAGACACTGACTCAACGATTATACCTCTACGGGTTTACCCCTTCAACAACGCGTGTCCTTGGTCTAGACTGAGGTCCTCTTCAGACGACAGACTTTCCAGACTCGTAATGTCTGTAATCTCGCTTTCTAATGTGAGCTGCCCACTCGTCACAGGTATTTGTTTACCAAATGCATATAATAAGCACACGCTGCGATGTATACACACTATAATACATGTACATACAATGATACAACACGAGTGAGGTGCATGAGTGTGTCTAAGAGTACCTAACTTTCAAGCAAAAGTTCCTAACACTCAAGCAGCAAGAGAGGAGTTGTGGATGAGTGGGAGACACTGCCAGAGTGGGAGACACTGCCAGCGTGGGAGACACTGCCAGAGTGAGAGACACTGCCAGCGTGGGAGACACTGCCAGAGTGGGAGACACTGCCAGAGTGGGAGACACTGCCAGAGTGGGAGACACTGCCAGAGTGGGAGACACTGCCAGGGTGGGAGACACTGCCAGAGTGGGAGACACTGCCAGAGTGGGAGACACTGCCAGGGTGGGAGACACTGCCATGGTGGGAGACACTGCCTGAGTGGGAGGCACTGCCAGTGTGGGAGACACTGCCAGTGTGGGAGACACTGCCAGAGTGGGAGACACTGCCAGGGTGGGAGACACTGTCAGAGTGGGAAACACTGCCAGAGTGGGAGACACTGCCTGAGTGGGAGACACTGCCAGGGTGGGAGACACTGCCTGAGTGAGAGACACTGCCTGTGTGGGAGACACTGCCAGAGTGGGAGACACTGCCAGAGTGGGAGACACTGCCTGAGTGAGAGACACTGCCTGTGTGGGAGACACTGCCAGAGTGGGAGACACTGCCTGAGTGAGAGACACTGCCAGGGTGGGAGACACTGCCTGAGTGGGAGACACTGCCGGAGTGGGAGACACTGCCAGTGTGGGAGACACTGCCAGAGTGCGAGACACTGCCGGAGTGGGAGACACTGCCAGAGTGGGAGACACTGCCAGCGTGGGAGACACTGCCAGAGTGGGAGACACTGCCAGAGTGGGAGACACTGCCAGAGTGGGAGACACTGCCAGCGTGGGAGACGCTGCCAGAGTGGGAGACACTGCCAGCGTTCGAGACACTGCCAACGTGGGAGACACTGCCAGAGTGGGAGACACTGCCAGAGTGGGAGACACTGCCAGCGTGGGAGACACTGCCAGAGTGGGAGACACTGCCAGAGTGGGAGACACTGCCAGAGTGGGAGACACTGCCAGAGTGGGAGACACTGCCAGAGTGGGAGACACTGCCAGCGTGGGAGACACTGCCAGCGTGGGAGACACTGCCAGAGTGGGAGACACTGCCAGCGTGGGAGACACTGCCAGAGTGGGAGACACTGCCAGGGTGGGAGACACTGCCAGCGTGGGAGACACTGCCAGAGTGGGAGACACTGCCAGAGTGGGAGACACTGCCAGCGTGGGAGACACTGATGCGAGAACTTTGAACAGCTCTAAGCACAAGTTAGACAGACATGTGTGTGGGTGTGTGAGGTAGACCTGCCTAACACGGGCCAGCAGTGCCCTCACAAATCACTATAAAAAAAAAGTATATGTTCTGTAAATTATACTTGAGAAGGTAATGATTGTTAGCAACTCCAGTGTTGGTGGGCGTTACCAGTGTCTTACTGCAGTGTTGGTGGGCGTTACCAGTGTCTTACTCCAGTGTTGGTGGGCGTTACCAGTGTCTTACTCCAGTGTTGGTGGGCGTTACCAGTGTCTTACTGCAGTGTTGGTGGGCGTTACCAGTGTCTTACTGCAGTGTTGGTGGGCGTTACCAGTGTCTTACTCCAGTGTTGGTGGGCGTTACCAGTGTCTTACTGCAGTGTTGGTGGACGTTACCTGTGTCTTACTCCAGTGTTGGTGGGCGTTACCAGTGTCTTACTGCAGTGTTGGTGGGCGTTACCAGTGTCTTACTCCAGTGTTGGTGGGCGTTACCAGTGTCTTACTCC